AAAACTCAAAAATCCCCCAACGAAACTTAACCAAAATTCCCATGCCCATAACACAACCCACAAGGTACAAACATATCTACTCAAAATGAAAAACAACACAACAACACACTCACAAAACGGCAAAAAACAAAACTCAAAAACCCCCCAACGAAACTTAACCAAAATTCCCATGCCCATAACACAATCCACAAGGTACAAACATATCTACTCAAAATGAAAAACAACACAACAACACACTCACAAAACGGCAAAACAACAAAACTCAAAAAAACCCCAACGAAACTTAACCAAAATTCCCATGCCCATAACACAACCCACAAGGTACAAACATATCTACTCAAAATGAAAAACAACACAACAACACACTCACAAAACGGCAAAACAACAAAACTCAAAAACCCCCAACGAAACTTAACCAAAATTCCCATGCCCATAACACAACCCACAAGGTACAAACATATCTACTCAAAATGAAAAACAACACAACAACACACTCAAAACGGCAAAAAAACAAAACTCAAAAAAAAACCCAACGAAACTTAACCAAAATTCCCATGCCCATAACACAACCCACAAGGTACAAACGTATCTACTCTAAATGAAAAACAACACAACAACACACTCACAAAACGGCAAAACAACTGAGCATGCGCATTGGCGCCCAGCCGCAAGTTCCCTGGCGCGCGCACATGCCCTTCCGGCCAACGTTCCCTCTGCGGAAACCATGCCCACTCCAAGCCCCACCGCGCCGCTTCCCGCACACACACAAACCCCTGCCGCACATACACACACAACCCCACACTCCATCACTCCCCCCGCCGCCGCACACACACACGCAACCCCACTCCCCCCGCCGCCGCACACACACACGCAACCCCACACTCCATCACTCCCCCCGCTGCCGCACGCACACACGCAACCCCCCTCCCCCGCCGCCGCACACACACACGCAACCCCACGCTCCATCACTCCCCCGCCGCCGCACGCACACACGCAACCCCACTCCCCCCGCGCCGCACACACACACAACCCCACTCCCTCCCCCCCCCGCCCGCACACACACACGCAACCCCACACTCCATCACTCCCCCCGCCCGCTGCACACACACACACAACCCCACGCTCCATCACTCCCCCCCAACTTCCTCCTTTTACTTCACGCCACCTCCAAACCCCACGCCCCTTCCCGCCCTGTCAAAATCTAGGAAAGACAGGAAGGAAGGAAAGAAGGAAGAAAGAGAAAGGGAGGTAAAGAAAAAGGGGGAAGGAAGGAAAGTTAGAGAAAGAAGGAAGAAGAAAAGGAAAGAAAAGGAAAGATGGAAGGAAAGAAAAGAGAGACAGCAGAAAAGAAAGAAAAAGGGGGAAGGAAGGAAAGAGATAGAGAAAGAAGAGGAGAAGGAAAGATGGGAGGGAAGAGAAGGAAGGAGGGAAAGGAGAGAAAGAGGGAAGATTGGCCACAGCAACACGTGGCGGGTAAAGGTTGTTATTTCTATTATTATTATTATTATTATTATTATTATTATTATTATTATTATTATTATGCTATTGTTCCTATGAGACCCTGGGGAATGGGAGAGGTGTCAGGTCCCAGAGGCAATGCATTGCATTATTGTTATTGTTATGATGGTGGTAAATAAAAGGAAATAAAAAGTGAAAGAAGGAAGCAAACAGGAGGGAAGAAAGGCAAAGGAAGAAAGGGGGAGGGAATGAAGGAAAGAGAGAAGGATGAAACCAAGTAGTGAAAGAAAGAAAGAAAGAAAGAGGTAGAGAAGGAAGAAAGGAGAGAAAGGGGGAGGAAAAGAGGGAAGGAATAGGTAGGTACCTCTCTTTCATAATAGTCCAGATATCTACCTCAACTTTGATAAGTTTTACTATAGGCCACAGCAACGCGTGGCAGGGCACAGCTAGTACAATCTAAGAAGAAACTAGAAAGCACAATGGAGCCTTCTGCTTTGCTAGATGCAAACCAAGTTGCCCTCGAGATATTGTTGCCCCGTAACTCCCAATTGACACCACTAGCTATGATGATAGGGAGTCATGAGTTACTTTCCAATGAAATCTAGATATCACATGTTCCCCATTCCTGCCCTGTGTGCAAATGGGCCTTCACATTGCCTGCTGATGGCAAGATGACCCCCATGAATTTATTAGGGTTTTCTTAGGCAATGAATAGTATTCCTTGTTATTTTCTTAGAAAATGAAATATTGCCTGTTCTGACACTTTTTCTAGGAATTGACTATGGTTTTTATCTGTGTTCTTATACTGAATCTGTTTTAAAGAGGCTTATTTCTAGGTACTATTTAATTGTATTTAAATGATTATTTAATCTTTTGTAATTGTATTTAATTATAGTATTATTATTATTATTATTAAACTTTATTTGTACCCCGCTAGCATCTCCCGAAGGACTCGGTGCGGCTTACAAAGGCCAAGGCCTCAATACACAACATAAACAATAAACAAGTTTTAATTTTTGTATGTCTCCTTGGATGCCAATGCTGGGAAAATGAGGGATGTAGATGAAATCATCATCATGGGAAAAGGAGAGATATCATCATTAATAATATAAATAATATTTCAAAATAGTAATACTGAAATGTGTTTGAATTACAGTACAACTGAATTTAAACAGACTTTTATATATCAAGGTGTATCACAGCAGAAAGTTAAAGGAACGAAATAAAATTACCATAATTTTGCAGTTCAACATCAATAGCAGGAGATGTTTTGGAACAAATAATCAATCTGTGCACATTGAGAAAGGTATGCTATAACATGCTTCTCTCAATCAAATGATACTAATCTTTCTTTGTTTGATAGCTTGGTAAATTGAGGGAGTGCTATGAATGTAGTATATCTTCATTTTAGTAAGGCTTTTGTCAAGATCACTCATAATCTTTTAGTTAAGATGGAATATTCTTGTCCAGCTCTGGATAGAACAGTTCAAGGATACCAATAAGCTGGAATATGTATAAAGCAGGATTTCTCTCTCTCTTTTAAAACCTCCTTCCAATTTCACTGGGTAAATCAAGACTGTATTATTATGACAGGGGAAAATACAACTATTTCTGTATTGTTGAGTCGATGGCAGAGCTTTAAATTATATATTTTTGGATTTTAACATAGGTTGGATCTACACTGCCATATACTTTAATGCAGTTTCAGAATTCAGATTCACTGCATTAAGTTGAATTATATGGCAGTATAAACTCATAATCCAGTTCAAAGCAGTTAACCTATATTCTGAAACTGCATTATATAACAGTGTAGATCCAGCCTCAGAAACCCTTAAGAGTTTGGACAGTGACAACTATATATAAAGCCTGTTTATCAGTAATGATGTAACAGTTGTGAAAGTGTGGCAAAGAATGCAAAAATTGGTCTTCATGTGTATCATGACAGACGAAGTGACTTGTTTATCTCTTTGTATCAAATGATACTTTCATGTCCTGAGTGTCCTGCTGGTTCAGATAACCACCCTGCTGCCTTTGAGGAGCCTACAATCAAACCATGAATAGCTTTCTTCTACTACTGCTGACCAAACACTGATACTGAAATTCTGCCTCTGAACACAGATGTCTAAAGTCACAATGCTCAAAATGATGTTAAATCTGGTGAATTGTCCAATTCTGGGCACTGCAATTGAAGGGAAATGTTGACAAGCTAGAATGTGTCCAGAGGAGGACGACTAAAATGGTCAAGGGTCTGGAGAACAAGCCCTATGAGGAGAGGCTGAAAGAGCTGGGAATGTTTAGCTTGCAGAAGAGAAGGCTGAGAGGAGATATGATGGCCCTGTATCTGGAAGTTACTCTAGAGTCATGGAGAATTTAGAAAATTCCTAGAGAGCTATCCTCTCTAGAAATGTCCTAGATACTCCAGGATGACTCTGTAATAACTTCCATATTATTGAATTGCCTAGAGGACCTAGAAAATTCATAGAGAGGACATATTTTGTCAGATAGCTATAACCATAAGTATCAATCCCAAGGATATGGGGAGTCACACTGTATAGGAATGGATGAGCACTTCATCCTAGTCCATAGTAGGCACTTGGCTGTTCCACCCCTCTCCTTGGCATTGTGCACCTGGCTGTGGTTTATGGACCATGGGATACCAGTGGAAAGAAAACACAGAGTAGATTCCACAAGTGTACACGGTGCTCATTTCAACTGCTAATCTGAGGAGAATAAGTATTTGAATATGGTCTAAGATTTGTTTTACAATAAAGATCTTGATTATTGAAATACTGCATAAATAAAGCCCCCCCCCCCCCAGTATTTATTTAGGTCGTATCAAAAGCATTGCATAAATTAGTATAAAAACTGATAAAAATAGAAGGTGCACAGGCGGCTAAATATCTTTTGACCAAAAACGGGCAACAACAACAGTATTGTCTGTAGCCTCCAATAATTCTTCCTCTGTACGTGAGGCAGGGCATAGCGGACAAGCATACAGATGCGGAGTTGTCTGTTCTGCTCCAAAGCCACACAAGGTGTGGGATTCTTCTAGGTGGTGCCATTTTGCCAGGTTGTCTTTTGATCTGCCCACTCCACTTCTGAGTCTGTTCAGGGACTTCCAAGTTGCCCATTCTTGGTTTGCCCCTGGAGGAAGACTCTCGGGGGGGGGGGGGGGGGGGGGGCATCCAATTGGGGTTTCCTGATTTAGTTGCCCAGAGGGATACCCTTGCTGTTGCTAGGGGGACGTGGTAGTTCTCATAAAGCTTTTCCTTGATTTGAGTCTACTGGGAGGAGGCTGGTAGCCATGTAGTGGATGGCTTTCACAGTGTTCAACCTTATTTTTCTCACATTTAGCAGCCACTTCCCATCGAACATCGGGGGGGGGGGGGGCACAGTGTCCGCTAGCTTGTAGAGTTTATCCACAGTAGGTTTAAGACATCCTGTGATTATTCTGCATGTTTTGCTCTATGTGTATTCACCTACTTTGCATGGGCAGTATTTGTATCCCAGTATCCCACTCAGTAAAAACACCAACAATGCCATTATAGGAACCAGATAATTTTATTAGAAGTAATGGAACAGAAGGATATGCTCGAAATCCTTTTGGTAACTTTAAAAAAAGATAAAAACAAAATACCCCTCATACAATCAAAACATTAAAGCCCCAATATGGAGCCAAGGCAAATGCAGAACCTGTAATAATAAAAATAGAAACTTCAAATTTTCTCCCCTTATTAAGCTGTCTAGATGGATAGAGAAAACCATGTGACAGAACTTCGACGTATGTGACAATATGGAATTTAACTCTTTCCAACTTTAGCCATTTGTCTTGGCAAAAATGATCCCGCCATCAAACAAGTCGAAAGATAAAATTCTGTTGTTCAAAATATATTGAATCTGGGCTGGAGAAAGCCAACAAAGGTGAGATGTGGAAAGGGCAGTTTATTTTTAAAAGACAAACTCAATACAAACAAAACAGTCCATTCTTCGGTCTCAAAACATTCACAACTAGGCCTTAATAGTCAGCTTTAAATGGATAATCCTTGTGGTTGACGGCCCTAAAGAGACAAAGGCATTAATCAGAAACAACAATCCAACTGTATCAATGCTCATGCCTGTTTTGGGAAAAAAATCAGAACAACATAAACTTTGAGTTTCAGACCAGGGATAGGGAAATTTTCAGTCCTGGGACCCTCTATGCCAGTGGTTCTCTACCTTCCTAATGCCGTGTCCCTTTAATATAGTTCCTCATGTTGTGGTGACCTCCAACCATAACATTATTTTTGTTGCTACGTCACAACTGTAATTTTGCTATTGTTATGAATCGTAATATAAATATCTGATATGTAGGATATATTTTTTCTCACTGGACTAAATTTGGCACGAATACCTGATACGCCCAAATTTGAATACTGGTGAGGTTGGGAGGGGGATTGATTTTGTCATTTGGGAATTGTAGTTGCTGGGATTTATAGTTCTTCTACAATCAAAGAGCATTCGGAACTTCACCAACAATGGAATTGAACCAATTTTGGCACACAGAACTCCCATGACCAACAGAAAATACTGGAAGGGTTTGGTGGGCCTTGACCTTGGGTTTTGGAGTTGTAGTTCACCTACATCTAGAAAGCACTGTGGACTCAAACAATGATGGATCTGGACCAAACTTGGCACAAATACTCAATATGCCCAAATGTGAACGCTGGTGGAGTTTGGAGAAAATAGACCTTGACATTTGGGAGTTGTAGCTGCTGGGATTTATAGTTCGCCTACAATCAAAGAGCATTCTGAACCCCACCGACAATAGAATTGGGCCAGGCTTCCCACACAGAACCCCCACGACCAACAGAAAATACTGTTTTCTGATGGTCTTTGGTGTCCTCTCTGGCGCCCCTCGTAACCCCCCAGGGGCTCTGACGCCCAGCTTGAGAAATGCTGCTCTAAGCCCAAAGGCACTGGCAAAAGTGCTTCCAAAAGAGAATAAGCTACAGAGTGGCTAGATTTCTCCTCTTGTCATGCCTAATAAAACAGGCACTTGCAAAATTTTAATTAGATACTTGTTTGTTTGGAATGTGTAGAAGAATGCTATGATTTAAAGCAATGTCCAAATAATAGCCTTGACATTTGTTATAATGAAACATTGTGTGAAATCTGTGGAGTTATTGTCTCTAGTCTAGACCTTTCTGCCCTATTAAATAGCAATATCCATTAACTACTATGGCAGAATCTCAAAGGCCCCCAAGTATGGAATGAGCCACATTAAAGTACTTCTTGAAGAGGAAAAATGTACCATATCCTATAGATAAATACTTGCTGGGAATTTTTTTTAATCGTGTCAGAAGCAACTTGAGAAACTGCAAGTTGCTTCTGGTGTGAGAGAATTGGCTGTCTGCAAAGATATTGCCCAAGGGACACTCAGATTTGTTACCATCTTGTGGGGGGCTTCTCTCATGTCCCCACATGAGAAGCTGGAGCTGACAAGACTGGTAGCCATGTAGTGGATGGCATGAGAAGCTGGAGCTGACAAGGCTGGTAGCCATGTAGTGGCTGGCTTTCACAGTGTTCACCCAGTCTCGCAGATCTGAACCGCTGACCTTCAGGTCAGCAGTTCAGCCAGCACAAAGGTTTAACCCATTGTGCCACCGCAGCTCCTTAGGAAATAACTGAGCATACATTTCAATTCCTTGCTGCTGGAGCACCACTGGAATAGAGAAGGGAATCAATACTTTTCCAGTTGGGAGCAAGAGAGAAAGAGTGCCTTTGGCTAAATTTGCTACTGAATGCCCTTATTTGTCTTCCACATTACCATCTTTTTGCAATCAAGTGAAGCCCTGTTTATCCACCCATGTATTTTAAGACATATTGAAACACTTTCTCAGCATCTTGGTATATTTGCTAAGTGCTACAATTTTTCACCCCATTGTGCATGTTACCTTGTACGATTTTACCTTTGTTTTACTGTCATTTTATTGCTTGTATGTTCATACTGTACTTGTACACTTTTCAGTAAACACTGGTTATTGGGTGCTTTAATAATAATCCTAACTGATGCTCACAATAAAAATAATGTTTAAGCTGCCTATACCCAAAGAACACATCTCTTAAACCAGTCATTAAAGCACTGCATAAAAGTCCTGCTCTACATTAATCTTGCAACCAGAATCAGACATTGGGGGTGTTTTAAAAGAAGTTTTTCAAATGATGCCACTTACATGCCCATGGCACATACTCTCCAATTCCTATTGAAACTGAGAATGGTTTCCATTTCTTGCTTAGACAACTCAAAGTCAAATACCTGGCAAAGGAATAAAGAAGAAGATTTTTTTAGCCTGAAGAAGAGAAGGCTGAAAGGAGACATGATGATGGGTATGAATAAATATGTGAGGGGAAGTCATAGGGAGGAAGAGCAAACTACAGACCATCTGCTGCAATACAACCTGAGCCCTGCCACACGCACAATGGAGGACCTTCTTGCAGCAACACCAGAGGCACTCCAAGTGGCCAGCTACTGGTCAAAGGACATTTAATCAACTACCAAGCTTGCAAACTTTGTGTTTTGTTCGTTTGTTTGTTTAAAAAAGCAATGCAACTGTTTGGTCTGCCCTTGACACTATATATATCTATATCTATATATCTATATAAATAAAAATATAATGTTTGTTTGTGTTATTAACAGAACTAAAAACCACTGGACGAATTGACACCAAATTTGGACACAAGACACCTAACAACCCAATGTATGTCCTTCACTCAAAAAAATTGAGTTTGTCATTTGGGAGTTGTAGTTGCTAGGATTTATAGTTCACCTACAATCAAAGAGCATTTTGAACTCCACCAATGATAGAATTGAACCAATCTTGGCAGATAGGACTCCCATGACCAACAGAAAACACTAGAAGGGTTTGGTGGGCATTGACCTTGAGTTTGGGAGTTGTAGTTCACCTACATCTAGAGAGCACTGTGGACTCAAACAATGATAGATCTGGACCAAATTTGGCACAAATATTCCATATGCCCAAATATGAACACAGATGGAGTTTGGGGAAAATAGACCTTGACATTTGGGAGTTGTAGATTATGAGACTGGCTACGATTCTATGTTGTGACGGTGCGGATTTGTTAGTGTGATTTAGATTAGATTAGATTAATGTGTAATATGGTTAGGTTGTTATATTGTGTATTTTTGTAAACTGTTTTTATATGTTGTACACCGCCGCGAGTCGCCCCAGGGCTGAGAGCGGCGGTCAACAAATGCAGGAAATAAATAAATAAATAAATAGTTACTGGGATTTATAGTTCACCTACAATCAAAGAGCATGCTGAACCCCATGAACGATAGAATTGGAGCAAACTTTCCACACAGAACCCCCATGACCAACAGAAAATACTTAAGGCCATCCAGTCCCACTCCCTTCACCAGGGCAAGAAAACGTAATCAAAGCCCTCCCGACAGAGAGCCATCCAGCCATAGATATAGGTAGATAGACATGATTCACACACAGAGAGATATAGTACCATAGATTTGAAAGGGACAGAATGGGGTTGGACTGGATGGCCCACAAGGTCTTTTCCAACTCTATGATTCTATGACTTAATTCCTAGTTGGGGAAGTGAGGGAGGGGCCAGAAGACAAGAATCGACTTCCTCTTAATTTTTATATTCTTCTGAGTTATGCTGATAAAATGGCTTCAAGAAGAAGAAGTAGCAGCAAACACAGTCAAAATTGATCAATTTCTTTTTTGTGTCAGGAGCAACTTGAGAAACTGCAAGTCGCTTCTGGTGTGAAAAAAATGGCCGTCTGCAAGGACGTTGCCCAGGGGATGCCTGGATGTTTTGATGTTTTACCATCCTTGTGGGAGGTTTTTCTCATGTCCCCACATGGGAGATGGAGCTGACAGATGGAGCTCATCCACACTCTCCCCGGATTTGAACCTTTGACTGTTGGTTTTCAGTCCTGCCGGCAGAAGGGTTTAACCCATTGCGCCACTGAGGGCTCATTTGAATAAATAGGATTTAACTATGAGTCAACTAACCGTTCAACACCACAGATCTGTTCTAGCTAGGACTAACCCTACTCATCAGCTAGACTATGGGGGGAAAGCAAAGGAAAAGTGCATCTCTTAGCTGTAAGAGAATATAACACACATCAACCCCCAGCCCAGCATGAGAAAGGACTATTGTATTTCTAATTTGGGATGCTTTTTAAAGGGATATCTCGGGAAAAGGTACATATACAGAAAAACAGATCTCGACAATACTGAGTTGTTTCTCGTGGGAATACATGTTATTTTTGATTTTACCTTGAAATTTTCCTCAATTCGTGCAGGGGTGACAGATTTGGGAATCACAATCACATTTCTTTGGATATGAAACCGGATCAGGACCTAAGAACCAGGACGACACAAAAACAAAATTTCTTGTTGTCTTCAATATATGTTTTAAAGTCTTTTCAGCCCAAGGGCAGAATTCAATTTCAGGTAAGAAGCTCATAAACCAAGTTGTGAATGCAACTTCTCAGCTGGGTTCCTGCAAGTGTTTTTCATGGATTTATGGCCTCGAGCCGAGGTGAGAGGCGGATAAGAAATAATGATGATAATAATAATAATAATAATAATCATCATCTACATAAATAAAAATGTAATGTTCGTTTGTGGTATTCACAGAACTCAAAAACCACTGGGGGAATTGACACCAAAATTGGACACAATACACCTAACAACCCAATATATGTCCTTCACTCATAAAAACACTGAAAAACACAGCAGAAGGGACTTTAAAAGCCCCCAAAAGCTAAATGACAATACAGAAAAAAGGGAAGAAAGAGGGAAGGAAGGGGAGAAAAACAAGGAAGAAAGAAAAAGAAAGAAGGAAGGAAAGAGGAAGGGAGGGAAAGAAAGAAGGAAAGGGAGAAAGAAGCATGGAAGCAAAGAGAGAAGGAAGGAAAGAGGTAGAGAAGGAAGAAAGGAGAGAAAGAGGGAGGAAAAGAAAAAAGGCGAAGGAAAGAAGGAAAGAGGGAGCGAAGGAAGGGGGAAGATGTAGAGAAAGAGGGAGGGAAGGAAAGAAGGAAAGAGAGAAGGAAGAAAAGAGAGACAGAAGAGAAAGAAAAAGGGGGAAGGAAGGAAATAGATAGAGGAGGAAGAAGAGAAGAAAAGACAGGAAGGAAGGAAAAGGGAGTGAAGGAAGGAAGGAAAGAAGGAGGGAAAGAGGGAAGGTTGGCCACAGCAACGCGTGGCGGGTACAGCTAGTCTATATAAATAAAAATGTAATGTTCGTGGTATTCACAGAACTCAAAAACCACTGGACGAATTGACACCAAATTTGGACACAAGACACCTAACAACCCAATGTATGTCCTTCACTCAAAAAAAATTGATTTTGTCATTTGGGAGTTGTAGTTGCTGGGATTTATAGTTCACCTACAATCAAAGAGCATTCTGAACCCCACCAACAATGGAATTGAATAAAACTTGGCGCACAGTTCTCCCATGACCAACAGAAAACACTGGAAGGGTTTGGTGGGCAGTGCCCTTTGGTTTTGGAGTTGTGGTTCACCTACATCCAGAGATCACTGTGGACTCAAACAATGATGGATCTGGACCAAACTCTACACGAATACTCAATATGCCCAAATGTGAACACTGATGGAATTTGAAAATATAATCTTGACATTTGGGAGTGGTAGTTGCTGGCATTTATAGTTCACCTACAATCACAGAGCATTCTGAACCCCACCAACAATAGAATTGGGCCAAACCTCCCACACAGAATCCCCATGTGGCCACAGCAACGCGTGGCAGGGGACGGCTAGTGATGATAATAAAATATTCTTTTACAACTCTTCTACCATGACTTTCTAGGACAGGGATAACAAACTGATTTTCATCGGAGGCCATATTAGTGTTATTGTTGCCTTTAAAGGGCCGCTAAATCCATGGATGGAGAATCTGTAGATACAGAGGGCAGAAAGGAGTTGGACTGAATGGGCCACAAGATCTCTTCCAACTCTGATTCTATGATTTTAAGTTCAACAATAGTTTCAATACAAAGCATCTCTTTGTATGAGATACTTTTAAGAGTCCCGTCCCCCCCGAAGTCTACCATCTGTTACACTATGAAAACGTATTCCATTTTCAATTGTATTACACTTTCAACCAATTCAATTCAGCTGAACATTTTTTGCTCATACTCACCTGTGCTGCAGTTTTATTGTGCTTATTTGCAATCTCTTTGATTTTAGGATCATTTAGGAGAGATGGATCTTCCGGCTTGGCCCTAAAAAATAAGAACAATAATGTCATACTTATGGTACCAAAAAAAACAACAACCCTGTATTTAATAGGAAGAAAAGAGCAGCCAAATTGCATCTGGGCTGACTAGATGTACATACATTTTCCTGTACCATTTCATGGGAAATTTCTTTACAGATTGCCATTTTCCATCCCATGTGATCCAAAGACACAGAGGAAGCTCATCTTACATTGGCAATATGGGCACATATCCGCCATTACGTGGAACATGGGTTACCAGCATATGTAACTACTAGATGTCTGAGGTTGGATCTACACTGTCCTATATCCCAGGATCTGATCCCAGATTACACAAGCCAACAAGTATTTTTCATCAGATATAATTTTAGATCATTCTTACAGAGTTTTCTGCGCTGCTTTCAGATCTGTGTTTAAGAATGATCTAAAATGATATCTGATGAAAAATACATATTGGGTATTTGTGCCAAGTTTGTACAGCTCGATCATTGTTTGAGTCCACAGAGCTCTCTGGATGTAGGTGAACTACAACTCCAAACCTCAAGGTCAAGGCCTACCAAACTCTTCCAAGCATTTTCTGTTGGTCATTGTAGTTCTGTGTGCCAAGTTTGGTTCTATCTCACACCAGAAGTGACTTGCAGTTTCTCAAGTCGCTCCTGACACGACAAAAAAACCAACAACAAAAAAAAGCCCAATGTTTCTCACCATGGTCTGTCGGGAGAGCCAAGGGGGCTGTATGCTGTCACCGTGATCCCTTTGGATTGACAGTAATTAATCAGTTTTTCCTGAGTAAGATAGGGATGACATTCAATCTGGAATAGAGATGATACCACGGCTTTATTTCAGAGCATTTTATTATGTTTCAGTATTTATTTCTTATAAATACTCAAGGCAGTTTGAAATCCGAAGAATAGAATTAGTAACAGCATTAATAAACTCAACCAATTTTCTACAATTGTTCATAGTTAAGAAGGAAAACAGCTTTTTCGAAGTCTGGCTTGTCCCTACTGAAATCCACACAATGTTTTCCTTTAATGAAAATAATAGCATTCCCTGAGGGCCCACTCTCGTTGCTAAATGTATCTGTTGTAATCCCCATTTTACTCTCAACAGGATTTCCAAATTTGATTTATGCATTATTACTGATGTAGACCACAGAGTAATCTAATTACCCCCTTGTTAATAATAAGCCTTCTAGCATTTTTGAATAGACAAATGAAATACATTCAACAGCACTTGTGTATTACTTAAGGTTACCCAGAAAGTGCACATGACTTAACTAAGTTGTGAGTCTATTGCTTTAAAACTTTTAGAAATATAATAGCTTGGACTGATCTGGATTTCATCTCTAGTTTTTGGAACTATCAATCAAATGCTTGGGAGAAAGAGAGGGGAATTTTCTATCCTGTTTAAAAGAAACAGTAGAGTTAGACTGCTGTTGAAAAGAACCCTCCCTTGATCTCCTGAATCAATAACTACAGACCAGTCTCTAACCTTCATTTTTTGGGCAAAATAATTGAGAAGGCAGTTGCCCACCAACTCCAGGCACTCTTGGATGACACACACTTCCTTGACCCATTTCAAACTGGCTTCAGAGGAGGATACAGAGTTGAGACTACTATGGTCACCTTAGTGGATGATCTCCATCTCAACACTGACAAGGGGTTTGTGTCCCTGTTGGTACTTCTAGATCTCTCAGCGGCTTTCAATACCATTGACCATAGTATCCTTCTAGAACGCCTGGAGGGGCTGGGAATCAGAGGCACTGTGTTGCAGTGGTTCTGGTCGTACCTCTCAGCCAGGTTTCAGATAGTGGTGCTTGGGGATAGCTGCTCTTCAAAAAAGGAGCTGTTTTATGGCATCCATCAAGGAGCCATTATATCCCCAATGCTTTTTAATATTTACATGCAACTGTTGGGAGATATCATCCAGAGGAATGGAGCAGACTGTTATCAGTATGTTGATGATACCCAAATATATTTCTCCATGCCTTCACAAACAGCTTTGGCTGGTAGTGTATCTCTTCTGAATGAATGCCTGGAAGAGGTAACAGGCTGGATAAGGAAAAACGAAGTGAAACTGAATCCAAAATAAGAGGTGCTTGCCATCAAGTGTCCTAATCTGGGGATGGAGGTATGTCAACCAGTTCTGGATGGGGTTACACTTAGAATCATAGAATCATAGAGTTGGAAGAGACCTCATGGGCCATCCAGTCCAACCCCCTGCCAAGAAGGAGGAATATTGCATTCAAATCACCCCTGACAGATGGCCATCCAGCCTCTGTTTAAAAGCTTCCAAAGAAGGAGCCTCCACCACACTCCGGGGCAGAGAGTTCCACTGCTGAACGCTCTCACAGTCAGGAAGTTCTTCCTCATGTTCAGATGAAATCTCCTTTCTTGTAGTTTGAAGCCATTGTTTCGTGTCCTAGTCTCCAGGGAAGCAGAAAACAAGCTTGCTCCCTCCTCCTGTGGCTTCCTCTCACATATTTATACACAGCTATCATATCTCCTCTCAGCCTTCTCTTCTTCAGGTTAAACATGCCCAGCTCCTTAAGCCGCTCCTCATAGGGCTTGTTCTCCAGACCCTTGATCATTTTAGTCGCCCTGAAAGACTTCCCCTGAAAGACTGTGTCCACAGCTAGGGAAGCTTTTGGAGTCATCTTTCCAAATGTTGTCCCAAGTAGATGCAACGATCAGGAGTGCTTACTACCAGCTTTGGCTGATATGCCAAAATATTGTTGTGCACGCACTGATAATCTAAAGGTTCTGCAATGCACTGTACATTGGGTTACCTTTGTACCAAGTTCTGAAACTCCAAACATGGCAACCAAATTGGTTACAGGAATATCTAGGAGTGAGTATATTACATCCATATTAAAGTCACTTCACTGGCAGCCAATTTGTTTTCGGGCAAAGTACAAAGTGTTGGTTTTGACCTTTAAAGCCCGAAATGGTTTGGGCCTAGATTACCCACAGGATCATGTTATCCTGCACAATCTACCCTTTAGGTCCTCTAGGGGGTGGCTATGCCAACAAACCAAAACTCGATTGGTAACTGACACCCAGAGGATGTTTTCATCGGTCGCCTCAAGACTGTGGAATGACCTGCCAGAAGAGCTCCAAAAGTTAAATGAATTCTTGGAATTTAAAATGCAACTCAAGACCCATCTCTTCCCATCAACTTTCAATCATGAGTTTTGATTTGCATTCTATTACCACTATAGGTCAATTCTTTTACCGTGTTTGGCATAAGATTTCATATAAATATATATGGATATGTGTGTAATTTACTTTATTTTTATGTCCATTTGGTTTTGAATTTGTTGTACCCTGCCTCAAGTCACCAGGAAAAGCAGGTAACAAATAATAATAATACTAATAGTGATAATAATAATAATTTGTTTAAAAGCAAAGTATGGATCCTCGATGTTGCAATCCCAGGTGACAGCAGGATTGAAGAGAAACAACTGGAAAAGCTGACACGATACGAGGATTTAAAGATTAAACTGCAAAGACTTTGGCACAAGCCAGTAAAGGTGGTCCCAGTGGTGATCGGCACACTGGGTGCAGTACCTAAAGACCTTGGCCTGCACTTAATACAATCGGCGCTGTCAAAATTACCATCTGCCAGCTGCAGAAGGCCACCTTACTGAGATCTGCACGCATCATTTACCGATACATTACACAGTCCTAGATACATGGGAAGTGTCCGACGTGTGAGCCAATGCAACAGCCAGCATAGTGATCTAGTTTGCTGTGGATTCATCTTGTTGTGTTTCAAATAACAATAATAATATTAATAATAGATAACATCCCTGTTGCATGCTGCCTTGTCGTTGGCAGGGGGCTTAACTGCTTCTATGATGTTGAGAGCTGTGCTGGCAGTAGTGTAAACAGGTTCAAACAAGCCAGAGTGGTCTCAACTGAGAAGTAGAACTAAGTGCACCCATCCCATTTAAATATGATGAAACAAACTCGGCCGTCGTCTAGGATAATAAGGACAGTGGCTAGTGCTTCTCCTGGGCACCCGTCGACAAGTGGGCTATAGGAACCAGGACCCACTGCTGAGCAACCAGGGCGTGGGCCTTTAGGGCAATTGGAAGCAAAACAACTACTGAAGCGGCAGAAATTTTCAATTCCACAGAACCGAACTGTCATGATCTGCTATTATAGATCAGAACCACAAAAACGTGGATACCAAAAATGGATGTACCAGCTATGGAAACTTGAATATCCAGAGCCGTTCAGCAGTGGAACTCTCTGCCCTGGAGTGTGGTGGAGGCTCCTTCTTTGGAAGCTTTTAAACAGAGGCTGGATGGCCATCTGTCAGGGGTGCTTTGAATGCAATATTCCTGCTTCTTGGCAGAGGGTTGGACTGGATGTCCCATGAGGTCTCTTCCAACTCTATGATTCTATAATAATAGGTAACTAACAGTAAGTTTGGCAGGATGAGGAAACCAAATCTCAATGTCCATGCTGAATGATTTAAGGAGTGAGATTAGTGGACTTTTTGTTTCCTTATAAAAAGGCATGAAGAATTAAATTTATTTTGCGGAAGGAACACACCAGAATGATAAAATGTAAGCCTCAAGTGATATAGATTAGTCATGGTAGAACATTAAATTTCAGTGCACTGAGCCTCCCATATAAAAGCAAAATCTAGTCACTGCCAACAATACTAGTGCAGTTACGTGATGTACACATATCCAGACAACAATCCTATTATTTTATTATGAAATCCATATCTTCCAGTAACTGATTTTCTTTTTCCGCCCAAAAAAAAAAGGATTTTGATACATAAAGCCGAATACTGTGTTGGGTCCTCAACTCAAGCTCTTCTAATTTGTTCCAATTATGAAATTGCAATAATTCAAGTATGGACCTTTGGGACAAGGTCAGCAGAGCATCATATGTCCAGAGCAGGAATGCCTCAGAGATGTGCATATTGGCAGCTGCTCTAGGATTCTGGAGAACCTTAGCAAGTTTTACATATTTTAGGAGAACTTGAAAAATGAATGAAAAATGGCCAATGGAAGTTGTGGACCTCATACTAGTACAATTCTTGGTGCTGCTAATAAAGAGCATGATCTGCATTCTTTTCTTTCTATAAAAGTAACTTGGTCCAGCTATAACTGTTTGTGGTTTAGTTGCAACATTGAGAAAGGAAATGGAGCAATGAACTGAACATTTCTCCAGCATGAGAAGTGATGGGAAAGCTGCCCTCCAGTATGGATGGAAATAAGCAACCAGGATCAATAGCTTCTATGTACAGTTTCACTTTCTACTACAGACAAACACCATGGTACATATTTTATGCTACTATGCATCCCAGCCACAAAGTCCTGGTGTTTTGCTTGCTTTGTGGGGAAAGCAGAACTTTAACTACTATTTCTGTTATAGAGAAAACCAAAATATACCTCACTATCAAAGCTAAAATGTTATAAGAGGGAGGTCAATCGGTTTAGTTTTCCTGCAATTTAAGGCTGGAGCTACACTACCTTAGATCCCGAGAACAAGCCCTATGAGGAGCGGCTTAAGGAGCTGGGCATGTTTAGCCTGAAGAAGAGAAGGCTGAGAGGGGATATGATAGCCATGTAAAATATGTGAGAGGAAGCCACAGGGAGGAGGGAGCAAGCTTGTTTTCTGCTTCCCTGGAGACTAGGACGCGGAACAATGGCTTCAAACTACAAGAGAGAAGATTCCATCTGAACATGAGGAAGAACTTCTTGACTGTGAGAGCCGTTCAGCAGTGGAACTCTCTGCCCTGGAGTGTGATGGAGGCTTCTTCTTTGGAAGCTTTTAAACAGAGGCTG